GAATAGACTTTAGATTCGGTCTCAGCGACCCCAAAAACATAAAAGAAACATGATTAGAGTTTTAGATCCAAATTTTTCTTTATTTTAATAATTTGAGGTTTTTTGTGGTTATGTCAAATACCTAACGATATACTAAAGTTTTACGAGTCGCTAAATCCGAATTTGATGTCAGATTTACAAAATTTATAATGGCGAACCCAATATGGCGTCTAAAAAAATTAAAAAATTTACAAGATAAAATTTGATAAATTTTGAGGTTATCTCAAATATCAGGATGGGGTTAAAGTGACTTTTGATTCGGTTTCAGCGAACAAATTTTTCTTTAACTAAACGGTTATTTGACTCTATATTTTTATTTAAAAAAAATTTGCATTCGACCAAATTTTAATTTAACAAAATTTCAATTGTTTCATTTTTAATCTAAATTGTTATATTTTTTGTCGAAATTGTCCTTTAAACGAAATTTATTAAACACAATTTAAATTGGGTAAATTTATTCATTGAATCAAAGAATTCACAGTAAATTATAAGGTATTAAAATAAGCGTTGCAGCTTATTTAAATGGCTTTTAATTTTCTGTGTTTCTCGCAATTTTCATTTGAACTAATTTCTATTGAAGCCAATTTTCATTTAGTCGAATTGTTATTTAAAAAATTACAATATGTTTAACAGAAATGTCAGATATCGGAATTTTAAGCCTCGCCTTATAGCTAAAATTTTTCCTAAATGTTCGTTTTTTTTTAAATATAATAAAACCTTCTTCCATTCTAAACCTAAATATCATTCCAAGATCTACGATCTAAAGCTATATACTATAGTTATACAATATTCTGTTCCGAATTAAGATACAATTTCCGAAATGAATATAAACAGTAATATTCTGTCCAAATAAATTATATAGATTTTATAAACAGCAAAATTCAATTTTGATCAAAAATTGATGCTTGAAATTAAACGATTTATAACAAGATATAATCTAATCGAAAGAACATATTTAAAATGGTTCAAAATTTTTTTTTCTGAGTGGTTGAATCTGTTCAAAGCTTTAATTACATTATCTGATTAGAAAGACAAAAGACCACTTGGCAAAAACCTGCGCATCCATATATTCCTTAAAGAAAGAAAAAAAAAACCGCTTATACTCCAAAGTGTGGCATAAAAAGTCAAGATTGAGATCAACAAAACCTAATCCTCCTTACAGCAATATCGTTGACACAATAAAATCCTATATACAGTAGTTAGAACACATTTCAATTCACTAGAGTGAGCACAAACCCCTCTTGTGGGAGGGTAAATAATCCTGTTACGCCCTTTTGAATATCACTAACATGATGTCACTATACGCCTTTTTAAATTTAACCTTCACAGTGATTTGGATTCGTTTCACCTCAAATATATATATATATATATATATATATATATATAAGAAAAAAGGGTCTCTGATATCGAAGGGGAACTCTAAAATTAGCTTTTTTTCAACAAAACTTGTCCTATACGATGTAATCGTGTCATTCACTATATTATCTGAAAGCCAGGGGCGAAAATTCCTATATATATATATATATATATATATATAAAATAAGTATTACTTTCTTATACTTGGAATTTTCGTGTTTAAGCAGGCGGAAACTGTCGAGGTATAATGTCACCTGTCCAGGTATACAGAGACAACCTTCTCTTTTGCTGATGGAGTCTTTCTATATATATATGTATACCTAACCCAATAATAACATCGGGGATACCATTGTTGAAATTATGGATTGCGAACCTTGTCGTGTTGTCTCCTGACCACAAAACACCATTCGCATTGTGTGACAAGTGCAAGTTTTTGTGACCGCAGAAGAATCTCCAATGGTCACTTTTGTCACGCTTCTTTTCAGGAAGTTGAGATTTACTCGAGATCTGAGCTATGTGTGTGTATATATGTCTTTTTGAATAAAGCATATATATATATATATATATATGACTTTAAGAATCCTCTTTTACAATATTGATCCCATTTTGTAAAAAAAGAGAATGACGAATTTATTTTATTTCAAAATAAAAAGAATATAAAGTACTAAAATAGTATCGATTTTATAGGTATGTATTAAAATAGAACCAAAAGGCAATTTAGTACCTAAAGTTGCGGTATTAAATTAATACCTCTATTGTTTTACAGTGTTTTTGGAGACCTTTTTTAGGACCCCCGTGTGAAAATCTTCCCAAAAGTCATCAAAAGTGAGACTGGGCGCCAATCTGGGCCCAACTTGGCTTCCCAAAGTTTGAAAAATCTATATTAATAAAATTAGACTTTTGTCTGTACATTGCTTAGAAAAGCAAAATTCTAAAAATAGCATTAAAAAAAATTCTGTCTGTCTGTCTGTCTGTCTGCACAATATTTTGTTCGCCAATCACGCATAAACGGTTTGACCGATTTATGTGAAACTTGGCAGTCTTTTAGGTATTAGACTAGCTTAAAATCTTAGCCATACCCCATTAAAAAATATTAACTTGAACGGAAGTTATGGCACTTTTTGTAAAAAACGAAATTTTAAAATTTTTTCGCTTATTTTTACTAGACTTTTTTTTTAGAAGTTTTTTGAGGTTAATTAATTGCATTTTTACCTTAAAATTGAGAAAATAACTGATAGATTTGAAATTGTGAAGAAAAATTCTAAAAATCAAATTTTTTAAATTTAATTTCTGTTATATTTTACTAAACCTTTTTTAGCTACTTTTTTGAGTCCAATTAATCAAATTTTAACTTTCCAATTAAAAAACAATATCATTGAAATGCTTTTATATAAGCATTCAATATATATATTTAATTTAAATAAATTTGAAACAAATAGAAAATGATCAAAAATATATATAGCTTAGAACATAAAACTTCTTAAATAATGTTTCTTTTTAAGAATTAAAGAATCTAAAAATGAAAAAAGGTAATAGAATAATGATGCTGTTTGAAAAATTTGATTCGAGAATTATCAAAACAAGGCTTAAACGAAATCAAATTAATCATGGTAATCTGTTAGAGAGATTCAAAACATTTAAAATCATTAATTACGAAGTTGATAAAGAAAAATAAAAGGTTAGTATATATTTAGTATGTGTTTTTTAGATTTAAAATTTTAAACAATTTTAAAATTTAATAAATTTGTAAAATTATTAGTTCAAGTTTTTAATAACAATCAACTGTCTATACAAAAAATTATTTGCACGAAAATACTGTTGGGCGCACACCACTATAGATTTCGCTCCCGCCGAAGGCGGGTACGAAAGCTATATAGTGAAGAAATAAAAGAATTAAGTTAATTGAATTATTATTTAAATAATATGCTGAACAAATACACAAAAAAGCGCAACTGTGAAAAGCAAAATTCACATTTAAGGAAAAATAAGGAAATTGAAAACTTTAGTTAATTATATTAATGCTAACCTAATTATATTTTTCACATCTTTGATACTAAGAAATTAAAACTTGTCTGCAGGTACTCGTCGTTAGCATAGTGGTTAGAGCGTTAATCTATAAGTCCGTAGGTCGTAGGTTCGATTCCCCTCGTGCGCAGTTTTCTTTATTTAATAGATTTGCGTTATTTCTAGATTTTAATTTATAAGTTGTACCAAAACTTGAAAATCAAATACATACACTTAGTGTAATTGCCTATTATTTAATTTTTAAATTATATAAATATTTTTTTTACTTTTTTTACTATATATACATTGTTTGTTAGTCGTCATCTTTAATACAATTTAATTTTAAAAAAAAGGAAGATTTATTTAAAAGGAAATTATATTTATTCATTTAATTTACTCTTTTGTTGTTAAATTATTTATATAATTATTAATTAACTATTATAAATAAAAATGGAAAATAACTCAATCTGGCCCCAGCTGGGATTTCCCAACCCTGGGAAATCTTTGGGATCAGCGTTACGCGCCCAGTTTGGGCGTTGTCTGGGTTGTCCACTTTGGACATTGGGAAACCCTAGTCTGGCCCAGATTGGGGCCCAGTCGACTTTTCCACACGGGGAGTTTTATGTTTATTATTTTACATTCCTAGTGGGATTAGCTTAATCAAACTTCAAGTGAAGTTTCAAGTTTGATTTGAAGTAAAATATTGCAACTAATTAGTGGAGTATGATGCAAAAAAAAGTTAACCCATTAACGCCCATATGCTTAGACACATAAAAATATCTGCACAATCAAAATTGGAAAGAGGACTGCGGTCCAAAAAAATGACTTTTGACGTTAAAAATTGTTAAAAAAAATAATTTGTTTAAACAAATTGTTATAAACAAATTAACAAAATTGATGAATTTTTAAAAACTAACAGCGCCATTCGATTCTACGGGAAAAATTACTAGAAGAACAAGTATTACTTTTTCAAAATTTTCACGCCATTTGTTATAAATAATTTATAAACAAAAAATGCACAGTGGTGCACCCATCAGAGCCCATGCTTATAGACACATGGAAATATCTGCACAATCAAAAGTGGAAAGAGGACTGCGGTCCAAAAAATGACTTTTGACGTTAAAAATTGTAAAAAAAAAAATTGTTTAGAAATTATTTATAACAAATGGCGTGAAAATTTTGAAAAAGTCATACTTGTTCTTTTAGTAATTTTTACCGTAGAATCAAATGGCGCTGTTAGTTTTTAAAAATTCATCAATGTTGTTAATTTGTTTATAACAATTTGTTTAAACAAATTATTTTTTTAAAACAATTTTTAACGTCAAAAGTCATTTTTTGTACCGCAGTCCTCTTTCCACTTTTGATTGTGCAGATATTTCCATGTGTCTAAGCATATGGGCGTTAATGGGTTAATGGAAGATTTTCAAACTTTGGGCCCGTCCAAATGTGAACAACTATAGTTTACGAAAGTTTCACGAACTATTTTTTTTCGTGTAAAAAGTATTAATTATTATTTTTTATGCTAATAAAACCACATTTGTCAACATATATAAATAAATAAACAACATCGAAATAAATAAATGAAAACAGTTAATACTCACGCTACTGCATATGCATCTCAGGGTTTATGTTACCACTTCGAGGATGGTGGAAGGTATAAACATTGAAGATTCACTGTAGATGGCGGGACATACTAAAGTGTAATTAACTGCGTTAATTCTGCGTAACTGCGTATAAATCTTCTATTGATCTGTAAAAATCAGTTATAAAATTGTAAAAAAGTTGATTGTAAAAAAATTATATTAAGTATATAGTGAAATAATAATAGCAGGGAACAAAAATTGCAGCATTATAAAAACAAAAAAATTATTTCAAAATATTAGTGATTTTGACACAAGTTTAAGCTTCTTTATATATTATATGTTTACCAAATCTATGATTATTATCTTTTTTTTATTCCACTTAATTTTTTTTCCATTGGTATAAATTAGTGCGCGTCATCTCGTCACACAAAATTCCAATACGCCCTTTAAGACAAATATATATATTTATAAATTCATTATTATAAAAAATAAATTACATTCTATATAACGATTCTTTAATATGCCTCTATATATCAATTAAAGCACAAAAAACTAATTTCAATTTCATTTTTTGTTACAGGTAAGCCCGAGGTTCGTCCTCAAGACAAAAAAAAACGTCATGATTAACATATAAGTCTTTTCTCGCACCGTAAGGGAATAAAAAAAAAAAGATACACGTAAGTCTGTTCTCTCAATTCTCGCAATGAAAAATTCTGAAGCGCTTAAAGCATAAATACTAATATGTAATGTACCAATATACCGGATTAAAAAATTAATAACAATCCGTTGCGTAATTTCTGTCTAATATGTATGCGACAAGAAAATAAATGTACGGACAGGAATGTTATATGTGTGCGCGACATCAATTTAATTTATGGACGATTTGTAATACTAGTTGTATTCTATTATAACACGAGTGAACAATGAAATTAAAATGGAGAGAAAAAAAGAGTGACTCTTGGAAAAAATTATAAGAGAAACTATGTATAGTATATATATATAATATGTTCTTTAACTTTTAAAATGGAAAGGAAAGTAATTAGTGACGTTGGCCTAATACCTATAATGCGTTCTCTTTTTGTCTCTGATCGCAACAATCTTTATCTGATTAGGGTCACTTTGCGTTTAAAGATCTATGCCTTCATCGGAGATACAGTCATTCGATAATGTAAAAAGAGGACCTTTTTTTCTATATAGCGCGGTTCCTTATTGTCTATATATATATATATATATATATATAACGCAAAAAATGGACGGAAGATGGAAAACCTTAATTATTTGCTTAGCCTATCTTTTGGAAAAGTGTCTTTTATCTTATATATATATACCGAAAAAAATTTTAAACTCAAGTTTCCCATCATTTAGAAATTTTAGTTCAATTTTTTTTCATTACTTATACATTTTAGTTAAATATTTATTTATAATTTTAAACTGTCAATAACCTTCTGCAGAAATTTACTATAAAGCTTTTAAATTTTTTTCCAAAGGAAATAAGAATTAGAAATTAAGGGTTAAAGGTTAAGTCGTTAAGGGTTAAACTTCAAAAAAACCTTCGGACAAATTTTAAATAATTTGATTTAAAAAAATTTTAAACATTTAGAAACTGTATTTAAATCAAAATTAACAGGTTTTTTTTTGCATAGAAACGATTTAGGTATAACATAACTTAAACAAGTTGTAAATTACATGAACATTTTGCTTCCTCTTTACGATCAGGAAAAAAATTTGCTTCCTTGTGGAGAAAGCATTAACATTGAAATAAACATACAAAAATAATATAATAATATAAACATTTAAGTTAAATTTAAAAAATTAATGGAAGTTAAAAAATCAAAAATTTACATTTTAACCGAAATTTCTAAATATTAATGAAAAATAATATATAATTTATAATTATTTACAATTATATCGATTCGTTTCAATGTAAGGAACATAATTATTTTATATTTAAACTTGAATTTAAATAAATATAAAATTTTTCAGCTAAAATGTGTATTTTCTATTTTTTAACTTTCATTAATTTATTAAATTTACCTTAAATGTAAATTTTATATATATCAATCGATTCGTTTTCATGCAAGGAATATACAATTATTTCATCTATAAACTTAAATTTAAATAATCACAAAATTTTATTGCCAAAATGTGAATATTTGATTTTTTAACTTTCATTAATTCTTTAAATTTAAATTAAAACTATACAGTTTATATATAACGATCGATTTGTCTTGACGTAAGGAATACGATTTTATTATATATAACCTTAAATTTTTCTATTTAAAATTTTTTTCGATTAAAAAAAATTTTTTGAAAAAAATACGATAAAATTTTTTTTTTGGGTATTTTTTAAAATCCTTTGGTCAGTTTTTAGATATTAATATGATAAATAAGCCTACCAAATTTTATCTAAATTCATTAAAACCTGTTAAAGTTATCTTCTAAACAAAAAAGGGATCCACACACACACACACACACACACACACACACATACATACATACATACATTCGGACAATTGATCAGGATCTCATATAAAATGTTTCTATATAGAGAAAAATTTGTTTCCGACACTTTGAAAATTTTTATAAACGAAAGGACTACAAAGCTTCCTTCACGAGGAAGCAAAAGAAGCTTTTTTTAAAATTTAAATCATCTTTTTCTTTAAAAATACAAAAATACATATAGGGGAGAATTTATAATTTATTCTAAGAGTATATAAAATTAATATTACCTAATAAATGATTTTTTTCGAGTTATTCTTCTCTAGATCCGTAGTTTTTTGTATAAACAGGGGCACCTCTTGTAGGATTTACATACTACGGTCTTAATTGATTAGAAGCTATGTATATTGCGCTATAATCAACTCTGGGTGCACTCAATAATATATATATATATATATATATATATATATATATATATATATATATATATATATATATATATATATATATATATATTTATATTTATATATATATATATATATATATATATATTTATATATAATTACTGATTAGACCCTCGCCCCCATAAAAAAAATAAATTGTTTATTTCAATAAAATGGACTTTTTAGAATTATAGAAATTTAAAACAAAAAATAATAAAATACTCGAAGCTTAAACATTTTAAATAGTATAGACATTTTTTCATGTATAAATGTTTTTTTTCTCTATTTGTTTCCATAGAAAAGGTAAAGGAAAAGAAAATCTCACATCAAAAAAGTGTATATATTATTTAAAATGTAGACTATTATTTGAAGTTTCTATCAAATAAAAGTTTGACCATTTAGAATTTTTAACACTCGAATTATCTACCTTATATAGATAATTATTTAAATTTATAAAATTTTTTAAAATGTAGTTCATAAAAAATCACAGAAAATTAAAAGGCATTAAAATAAGAAGCGTTGCAGCTTATTTTAATATACCTTTTAATTTTCTGTGATGTCGCGACTATTTAAAATTTCGTCCAAATAAAATTTTAACTATTAAAAATTTCAACCAGTTGAAGTTTCTACCATTAGAATTTTTGATCTTTTAAAATTTCGACTATTTGGAGTATTATTGTTCAAAAATAAAATGTCGACCATTTGAAGTTTCTATCGGCTTCTGATAAACTGTTTCAGATTCAGTTGTAGAATTTCACCGCGTAAGAATTTGAGAGAAATAAAAGTTGCTTATACATATATATATATATATACCCGTGTAGAAATTTCCCTACCAGGGCCCTGGTAGTGAATAATAATCTGGTCCCGATCAGGGACTGTTCAGGGCCAGATTAGGGCCACGAGAAAAATGGGGATTTCCTAATCAGGGACACATCAGGCGTAGCGTCACATTCCCGCCCGATCCGGCCCCGATCCGAGCCATGGCAAAATTTCTACACGGGTATATATAATACATAATAGGTGTTCCCTCAAAGACTACATATATATATATATATGTACTGTATCATATATATCCTGTGCACTGGAGTGTGATAGTCGTAAAATATATATACATATGACTCAGTCGCAGGATTTCTTCATTTTGCATTTCACCTCGCGGTGTCTTTCGGCCTATGGCTTTATATATATATATATATATATATACCCGTAATATCACATTCTTCGCGGAAACAGGCGTGAAACCAGTTACTCGACGATCGTCACACGAGTTTTCCCATAGCGATTACATATATACACTTGCTAGCGCGCAAGAGCCGAGACATATAGACGACTCGCTTATCAGGCCCGTGTGATTCGAGAAAACGTGAGATTCTCCAAGATCGATTCGATGAAAGTGTATTTACTCTATACACTATATATATATATGCAACATGTTTCTCTGCCGAGTACAATGTCCGTAAAGTACATCTAATAGAATGGACGATTGCGAGAAGGTCGGTCGTTCCTCGAGGTCTTGGAGATAGTCCTTGTGCACGCGTATTACCTACTAGTATAGTATATACATATATATATACATATTCGTATATACTTGTATATATATAGCTATATTCGTAAGGCGAACGCGTACATAAATAAACCGGAGGCGCTCGAGCGTGGGTGTGTTCGGGTCGAAAGCCCGTCGAATGCGGATTGACCTTTCCAAAGTATCTGTTGCCGTATTAACATCGCGTACACACAGAATCCCACATGAAAAACTTGATTACCAATTTCACCCAACGTCCCAAACTATTTTAGCTTCTCACATTTCTTATTGTGTATAGCATATACATATATCTTTCTGTATACACACATATAGATTATTTTCCGATGCAAGCATATCATGACTTTGAAATTACAAAGTCTAGCCAAATTTTCCAGATTATAACTAATGATTAATCCCGTGCAGAAATTAGTAAAATTTAACTAATTATAAAGCAAAAAGTGAGTCACTAATTTAAATTAGTAAACTTTTTTACTACTTCAGATTTAGAAAGTACTTAGTTCTACTTTAAGTAAGACTCTCTCATTGCCCTTGCCAGTTTTTCCACAAGTCTGACATTTCCCAGATGTTACTTGGTTATGCCATGTTTGTAATATAACCTAAAAAACTACATATCAAGGCAGTGGAAAGGCCCTTGCCAGTTTGTCCAAAAGTATGGCATTCCTTAGAGCAACTCGGTCTTGCCATGATTTTATGACATAACCTCAAAATAAAAAATAATTTTTAACA